CCGGCAGCAGCAGCCACAAGGTCATGGATCTTGGACCAAGATCCTTCAAACCCCCGAGTTACCCGAGGTTTCCTTGCTGCATGTGCTCTGCCTGATGCTGTTTCTCCTGATGTCCTGACACTCTGTTTCTCCAGGAATGTCGGTATTTGCATGGAGAGTTTCAAGGACCTGCCTGTGGACGCAATGGCCCCTACGCACCTAATGTCCTCTTCTGGTGCTGCATCCTCTTCTTCTCCACCTTTGTCCTGTCGAGTTTATTGAAGAAGTTTAAAACCAGCCGTTACTTCCCAACCAGAGTAGGTAGAAGATGGTGGCCAGCAGCAGTCTCCACATTCATTTCCCAAAATGGCTTTCCTGGAGCACTAGGCACTATTTGCCACCACTTGCTCAAGCTGGGAAGTGTTGACCTTGAAGGCCAAGCTCTCCATCAGCTTGGATGTCCTTCACTCATTTCCAGGAGTGCAAAACGATTGTAACATTTCCCACCTGCCTCGTGACCTGCCCCAGAGTGAGTTTTTTGCTCAGGCAGTGGGAAATGAGATCTTCCAAAGTTCTTTTATCATGTTGTTTTGGTTTTTTTTCCCACCATCTGTGCATTACATGCTCAAGGAGAACGTTGAGTCAAATGAGGAGCTGCCATAGAAAAAGACACAAGTTCTTTTGAGAAACAAATGTTGCCTCAGTGCCTTATTTTCATTTTAGCTGTGAGTGTGGCTGTGGTGGCAGCCATCTGCTTCCTTATTTTTTTTTGAAGGTTTGAATGAAAACGACCCTTTTCCACCTAATTAAACTTTTTATTGTCTGACACCAGCTCTCACGGGGACAAACACAGCAACAGTATCTAACCGAGGGATTTGGCTGCGTGTCCTCAGAGCTGGGGGATTTTATTAACCAGCTTTAATGATGTTGATGTCCCCAGCTTTTCCATCTCATGTTATGACCCCGTTTGTGATGCTTCTTTCAGCTCTACTTTCTTGCCCCAGGTCCGGTCCACAGTGAGTGACTTTGCTGTTTTCCTCACCATCGTCATCATGGTGCTCATTGACTTCCTAATTGGGATCCCATCACCGAAGCTCCACGTCCCTCATATGTTCAAGGTAATGGGGTGTTTTTGGCATGGAGCAGGTTTCAACCCTTGGGGATGCCACAGGGTGATGCCGCGACAGGACAGGGCTGAGTCTGGAGGAGACGCTGGTGGTGTGACCATCTCCTCTTCCACCTCCAAGTGCATCGTTTCCTTCTGGAAAGAAGACTAGATACCAAAACTAGATACCAAAACTGGATACCAAAACTAGATATCAAAACTAGATACCTACAGGAGAAGTATCTCTAGATGCTTGCAAAGGGGACACTGGCACTGCTGAAGCCCAGGGTGGCAGGAAACCAGGGCTGGGAGGTTCTCCTACACATGGATGGAGGGGAAAATCAAAGCCAGTGAAGTGACTGGGCTGGGAGATGATGCTGATGTGTGTGCTTTGTTGCAGCCTACCAGAGACGACCGTGGGTGGTTCATCAACCCCATAGGACCCAACCCTTGGTGGACTGTGGTGGCTGCGCTCATCCCAGCTCTGCTCTGCACCATCTTGATATTCATGGACCAGCAGATCACCGCCGTTATTGTGAACAGGAAGGAGCACAGGCTGAAGGCTGTGAGAGATGACCCCATCCCCAGCCCACTCCAGGCTGCAGGGATGGGGAGAAGATCCTTTTCCAAATGCTTTGTGAAGGCATTAGTTTGGGACAATGTCAGGCTGCGTGGCAGGATGGGCTCCTGGATTAAGGATGACACGGAGCAAGTGACAGGGGAGTTCAGAGGAGCAATCTTTTGGAGGAGCAAAGTAATCTTGGAGCAATAGAGAAGCACGTTTTTGTTTTAAAATAGCATCAGTGTCTAGGGGAATTAATCATTTTGATGCACTGCCAGGGATAACTTAGAGTCACATCTTGCTTGCAAGTGATAGAGGTTTCTTTATGAATGAAAAAAACAGTTTTTGTTGTTGTTTGTGTGCAGCAGATATCGTGCAAACTCCCCAAATCCATGTTATCTGAACTCCTGCCAGATTTTCCTGTAAGGTGCTTGTGCAAAGACTGGCTTCATCCTTATGTGTTTCCAATTCTTGTTTTAAATTTTCAAGAAGTTGACTTGAGCTGACTTGCGATGTTGTCCCTGCTCTTGTGCCGTGGGATGCTCTGTTTCTTGTTCTGCTTCCTGCAGAAAGGATGCGGGTACCATCTGGACCTTTTCATGGTGGCCTTGATGTTCGGCGTGTGCTCCGTGATGGGGCTGCCCTGGTTTGTGGCTGCAACCGTCCTCTCCATCACCGGTTGGACTGGATGATCTCCTGAGGTCCCTTCCAACCCCACCAGTCTGTGATTCTGTGACCCCATCCCCAACCCACTCCAGGCTGCAGGGATGGGGAGAAGCTTCTTTTCCAAATGCTTTGTGAAGGCATTGGTTTGGGACAACCTCAGGCTGCGTGGCAGGATGCTCTCCTGGATTAAGGATGACACAGGGAGCAAAGGACAGGGGAGTTCAGAGGAGCAAATTAATCTCAGAGCAATAGAGAACCATGTTTTTGTTTTAAAATAGCAGCAGCATCTAGGAGAATGAATCATTTTGATGCACTGCCAGGGATAACTCAGAGTCACATCTTACTTGGAAGTCGTAGAAATCTCTTAATGAATGAAAAAAATAGACAATGTTGGGTTTTTTTGAGAAGTAGATATCACACAAACTCTCCAAATCCACTTTACCTGAACTCCTGGCAGATTTTCCTGCAAGGTGCTTGTGCAAAGTCTGGCTTCATCTTTCTTTGCTCCCAATTCTTGTTTTAAATGTTCAAGAAGTTGACTTGAGCTGACTTGTGATGTTGTCCCTGCTCTTGTGCTGTGGGATGCTCTGTTTCTTGTTTTGCTTCCTGCAGAAAGGATGCGGGTACCACCTGGACCTTTTCATGGTGGCCGTGATGCTCGGCGTGTGCTCCGTGATGGGGCTGCCCTGGTTTGTGGCTGCAACCGTCCTCTCCATCACCCATGTGAATAGCCTCAAAGTTGAGTCTGAGTGCTCAGCTCCAGGAGAACAACCCAAGTTTCTAGGGATACGAGAGCAGAGAGTCACTGGCTTGATGATCTTTGTGCTCATGGGCTGCTCTGTCTTCTTCACTTCTGTGTTAAAGGTAAAAGGAAAATGTCAAACACCCAGCAACCACCAGCTTTTTTGGAGATGATTCAAAACCAGTCCTCTCTCTAGGCCTGAGTAGTGATGGAGCAGAGGAGGAGGGGGATCCCAAACCTTGGGCTTGACCCACGCTGGGAGCCAACCTCAGTTACACTTTCCAGCCCTTCAGACCACACTTTGGTGTGCTCAAGGCAAGCAAGCAAGACAACTGCTTTGATTTTCAGGTGTCTTTCAGGCCCACCCGTGTTTATGGGTTACAATTAAGCGTATTCAGACCAGTACATCTGCTTTCTTTCAAACTGGTAGCACTTGATGGTTGCACTTTGCTCCCCCAAATGCCTCCCAAGAGCTGTTCCCAGTAGCTAAACGCACTGAAATCATCCCCATGGGCTTCCTTGTGTGTTCCTCTCACAAAGGAATCTCATCCCCAGGCTAAAAGGAGGCATGTCCCTTTTGTGCGTCGCCACAAGAATATGTACAAATGTTTTTCTCCTGTCACAGAACATGGTATGTGGTAGCATGGGTGAAACAACCTATTTTCCTCCAAACTTTCTGGAAAAGAAGATTTTTCTGATGAAACGTAACTCAAAAGCTCAGCCTAAAGTGGAGCATTAGTTCCCTCACACTCACGAAATCTCTAAGGGTTAAAATCCAACGCATCTAAAGTTGAGGGTCAACTTTGGCCTTTTCAAG